TGTGTCCCTGTTCAATAACAGGTGACCATACAGATGTTATGGTTTCCCTTTGGCTTCTTAAAGGTGGAATCAGTCAAGCTGGAGAAAAATACTTGATTGTTGAGTGTAATTCCCAAAATTGGAGACATTTTGGAAACCCAAACCGTCTATATTTGAGGACCTGGGAACATAAACGCCTCCTGTTGTGTTGTGTAGCTCAGTCCGAGACACTATGTGTTTCCCATTTACTTAAGCATCGGTATTTGACGATGTGCTGTCTTCCAGAATGACTGACCCCACCTTTAATGTATCTCTGAGATGAGTATGGAGTATCATGCTTAGCTAACTGCACAGTTTAGCCCAGTAAACAAGCTTTCCAACCTGTATTCATCAGTAAAACAGCTGTGTAAGTTGTTTCTGGAAGCAGCTCTGGTGTCTGCTGTAATTATGGCAGAAACAAAGGAGGAAGTCAGGTAACATAAAGAGCCACACAAGTACCCTAACCAAGTAGTTTTTAAACTTACAGTTTAACGTTAATTGCATGTTTAAGTTAACTTACCTAAGGTCCGGTACACAGCGTTCATATATGTCGTTGTGGGAGTCACTGGCAATCAAACCTATTCAGTCATTTCAGCATGAGTCTTTGTGTGGACACAAATGCTGTGATTGGACTAAAGAAAAACAGCTGGAAATGTGTTTGCTTCTATCAGTGATCAGTGAGTGTGATTGTGAATGACGCCTGAATACTTGTTGTCAGTAAGGATCTGCTGAAATAAGAAGACACTCAGGAAGACATTAATTATTGTTTCTGTCAACAAAAAATCTACAAATAAGGCCAAAATACAATCAAATGTTTCTGTCTTCCTCTCATTCAGGATGATCCCAGCCAACCACAAGTACTTCCTGCTGAGCGACCTGGCGTCGTCGCGGGACTACGAGCTGTGTGTTTTGGCCGTCTATGATGACGGCATCACCGCCCTGACGGGCACCAAGCTGGTGGGCTGCGTGTCCTTCAGTACGGAGACAGAGTACGGACGCTGTCACTCTATAAGAGACCAGGTTGGTACGCGTCTGACCACATACAGAGCTAAACAGTAGGGTTTTGGATGATTTATTTCACAGCTCCCAGAGTTCTTGACTTCTGACTCAGATACTGTTCAATTAACCAATTATTTTTATGTGATTTACTATATAATTGGTGTCTTTTTATGTGGTCAGTTTTACATATATGGAAAAAAAACTAAATAAATTAATAGGATTAACTCTTTACTCAGATTGTTGCAAATCTTTCTTTATACATGAAGTGCAATCAAATGGAGTTTGACCAGTTTTATGAAACTAGATGTTTACATTTCCAATTATTCAACTTATTAGACTCATTTTTCAGGTTGACTTAAAATTTTCTTTCCAAGGTCAAGAATTAACTTCGAAACTCAAGTATTCTGCAGCTTTAAAGCTTTCAATGAGGAGGATCTATTGTCAGAAA